GGTTAATCGTACCATGATGGCAGTATAAATAAATTGTAATTTCCTAATGTAATACCCGAGCGGGCGCCACTGGTGGTGGCAGTATGATCGCAATTTGCTTCACGCGCGCGCTCTCTATTACGGGTCCCCTCTCTTTCATAGTTTAAGGGAAATCGTACTTAACTTGAACTTCCAAAGGTGACTCGACAGATCGCTCGTTATAAAGTTACGATTATTCTGATATTCATGCCATCCAGTGAGTTCCAGTTGAGTGCAATCTTTATCTGGAATTAAATAAAACTAATCGATTCTATTTCGCGCGTGTAAAAACAAACAATTATTTGACGAAGACAATCCTGTATACATTGACTTTTATTATTTTTGAATTTGATTGCTAAGATTCACTTATTTAGGGTTATTGTTTTAGTATTTTAAGATAGGTTTAGGTAGTGGCATTGTTTAAATACTTGAACAATGTTAGTGGCCGAGGTAGTGGCCGTGGGGAACGAATTTAAATTTTGACTGATTACAGTGTTGTATTTGATTTAATAACGTGTAATAAATGTGTTTAAAGTTTTAAACGATATCTGGTAATCTTCACAACAATTACTGATTTTCTAATAATGGACAAGTAAATTCTTATATATTCTATTAATTAATTTGAGTTATAGTATATTCGCTGTAGCTTTGCGGGTTTGTAATTAGGAATTCCCACAGTATGGTTCAAATCTCATCTTCAATGGTTAATATAGCCTTGTTTACTTGTGAATTGCTCGGGGCGTTCAAAAATGCCCAAGATATACATAAGTTAGGAAAGGCAAGAACGTGTCTTCAAAAATTAAGCGCTAACGACATACCGGCAAAGCTACAGCGAATATACTATATTAACTTTCCAAATTGTGGTCATAAATATGTAATGATAATAGTAAGATTAGCAGTAAAGGAAAAATGATTGAATTCTGTCCTAACCTTACACCACTATATTTACCTGAGTTAGCTGGAAGTGAAAAAGTATAATTAAGGTAAGTTCTGAAATACTTAACCAACGACACCAATCGCCAAGAAAAGAAACGGATAATAATAATATAATAATAATAATATTTTATTATCCAAACAAGTAAATATACTCAATAACAGGACAATATTCCAAAAAATTACAAAATCAAAAGTTCATGCGAGTATTGTTGATGAATGGCTCCATATTAAATTAGTGTGTGGTCTAAATGGTTGTCGAAAATATTACACTAGTGTTGTTTATTGACGTCACTTTACCATATCCTATCATCCTATCATTCGTCACATAAATTGTACAGATTTCAAAATAATTTTCAAAATAATATTCAGATAAAACATTCTTCACTACATTTTCCATGATTCGTTAGCCATCCCGACGTATCGCCTGATGATGGACGAGAAAAAAGTCCGAAATCGATAGCGACTAACATTTTTCAATAAACAAAATTAGTGTAATATTTTCGACAACCATTCATGCGAGTAGTTAAGTAATTCAGATAAAAAAACACTTCAAGATATTAATAAAGAAAATAAATTATAACTCTAATGATTGTAACAACCGATCCAAACCTTTATGAAAAGCGCGGATAAGTCATTAATAATGAGCAGATTAAATGTACTGGAGAACTCTGAAGCACATTGGTCTTACATCTTGGGAGGCAAAATGGTGCTGGGCATCTTGAGGACAAACGTGGGACGCGGACGCAGAATCCAATTTTCCCGAGCACAGGCAATCAATTTTATTATTTAAGAGATTATACATAAATGATAGGCAGAGATGTTTTTTCTAGTTTTAAGGGACATCAGCTCAAACCGTTCACACATTATCTGCTAAGAAAACCGATTGGGTGGATAGACTCCATCTTTCCTATAGCCGCCGCTGGATGTATTCAATTGCTTCATCGTATTTTACATACAGGGGGAACCAAATCAACGCCCCATACTCTAATTTGCTCCTAACCAAGGATGTATACGTATCGGTAAAAGCGGAGCTCGATCGAATAATAAATCCCAATGTCTGAGTTGGGCGTTTTACTATGGCGTTTATGTGATAGGAAAATGTTAGGGCACCGTCAAAGTTCACCCCTAAGTCCTTGATTATTTTCACCTTTTCCAATACAGTGCCAGCTAGAGTGTAGTCGTAGTGCAGTTGATTACGTTTACGAGAAAAGGTCATAGTCCTGCATTTCGAAACATTCAAATTTAGTTTGTTAGATCGGCACCAATTCTGTTATAGGGAGTTCAAATCATGTTGAAGTTTAATGCAATCGGCTATGCAGGTGTTCTGAGAAAAAAATTTGAGATCGTCGGCGAACAACAGCTTATGCGACGATATACGACGGGGCAAGTCATTAATAAATATTAAAAATAGTAGAGGACCAAAATTGAATCCTTGGGGCACACCTGAGTTTGCAGTAAATACAGATCTATAAGATAAGAAGAATATACACAGTGAACCGTCGGTACTTGTAACCATCCGTTACAAAATGTCACCAAAGAGTGCGGCTGTAGCGTGAGGACCGTTACAGTACACTCCCTTCGAAAAATAAATTGTTTTTCTAAAAGTGTTGTCTATACTGTCACGCAGAGTGCATAAAGTCAATATCTCAGACATACGCAACAAGTTAAAACGTCCAAACGTGAAACGCACATGTGCGGACGATAGCGTATTTTTCATAGCATGCCTACCAGGAAAGAATGCCAATCACAGAACACCTGATGTCTGTCTACAATCGTATGGTTTACTATGAAAAACATACGATTGTAGATGTAGACCGGCATCAAGCGGTCTGTGACCGGCATTCTCTCTTCTGTTGGCGAGTAGGTATGTAAGAGTATCTACTCGTATCTTTCGCTTTAATCCCAACCAAAACGAGAGTATGACAAGAGGAACACAAAAGTCTATCTCTATTCGTGAATGAAACGATCTTTCCAAGAGCCCTCTGCATGAATTCTTTCACCGTATCCGTTATGTTGGTTGCATCAAGATCGTCTACATATCCCTCTTCTGGTCGTGCAAACCACTCGTAGCCAGGGGGTGACCATGGTATGACCGCGTCTCTAGGATAATTTTATTTTTTTTGTCTTGGCAACGATAAATAAAGCTCAAAAGATAGCAATGACACATCGAAAGCTGTCAATTTTTTTTCATTTTTAGCCTTTGAAAAAAAGAACACAAAAAGTTAATCTACGGAGGGTACTCAGTAGTCAATGCTTTTTTCTTCAGCCCCACCTGTTTTGCACCTCTTATTATACTTTATTTTGGCACGGGCCTGGCACCAATTACCTTTTCCGTCCTTTGCCATGTTTTCGCTAAAGTCTTAGAGGTACCAAGTCCCTGAAACAGAAATCAGTCATTACATAAGTTCGTCGATCTATACAAATGCAAGTCCTCGGGTTCAAAGGCTGCCCGTATTATAATTAAAACAAAAACCTTCCACTTGACCTAGACCTCTTACGCGTCCCCTGTAAGCTCGCCGCCTTAATGTGCTGTAAGTTGTTCTGTGAGAAGGTTACCTCATCCATCATTGTTTTGATATACTAGGTTCCTCTCTCTCCTAGTGATGACAACGGTTCCGACTCCTCATCGGGGCCAAGACCAGTCGCACATCTTTAGGATTTGGTTCAAGACCCGCTTGGCACGGGGTTTTACCCTCGAGCCGGCGCTTCCTGGCCATCGCCTTCTGTCTG